TACAAACCTCCCTGCTGCCTGGGTCCCCAAAGCCGTGTTTGGGTTGCTGCTTACAAGCAGCTTTTATTGAGTTAGTAATTACAAGGGGGGTTGTTTCCCTTGAGGCTGCTTTGCTCCTGACTTTGCTACGGCCTTTGCTGTGAAAGCAAGGCAGTCCATCCTGCCGGAGGGTCCCATTTCATATCTACCTGGCTGGGGGAGGAAAAATTGTAGGTGAGACCTGCCATAATTCTGTACTTTAGTCTCTTCACTCTCCTGGCTCCTCTGCTGAGAGCCCCACTGTGACTGGGGCTCTTGCATTAAGCCAGGGCCTGCAGGGAGGCCCTGGCATTTGGGGTTCCCTCCAGTTCCCACCCTCTTCCTGCTTATTTTTTGGGGTGCTCTGTTCCTTTAACCCTGCGATGAAAGCCAAAAACAGCCGAGGCTGCCTGGCTTCCTCGCAACGTCTTTTAAGATGGGAAATTCCCAAGCCTGCAACAAGTTCACTTGGTCACGGGCAGATGACAGCCCAGGGTGGGCCGGCACCATTTGGTCACGGGCTGCATGAAGGCAAGTGGGGAACAGCTGCGTGCTCAGGCAAGGGATTTTTGTTGTGTTTTTTTTTTTTTCCTAAATAGCTTTTAATTCTTCACATTTTCCTTCTTTGTACCCTGCTTTTCCCTTGGCATAGCCAGCTTCTCACCCCCAGGGCCCACCAGGCACTGGTGCATGGACAGTGAGACAGGGCTGCCCTTCGACACATCCCCATCCCACCCCGGGATCCAGCAGGACAGCGATGGCTCCCACCGAGCCCTCTCCAGCTGCATCGGGAGCGTGGGCAGGTCGGGCAGCAGGACAGGGTGGCTGTTGTGGGGGCCACGGCTTATGCTAGGGAGGCGTGAGCTGAGTGCAGGGAGGAGAATGCCTGTGTGGGCTTCGTGCCGCATGGCTGGGCTGAAGAAGGCTCTTCCTCCGAGCCACAGCCAGGCGTGGGGACGAGCTTAAGCTGTTCGTACTCCCCAGCACCAATAAAATAAGCAAACAGCCAAAGGTTTTCCTGGGCCCGGCGAGGAAACTTTTGCAAAGTGATTTTTCACTTAGTTTAGCCACGCGACAGCTTTAGCGTTGCAAACGCTCAACACCAAAAAGCCCAAAGCTGAGGTTTGCTTTTTGCGCCTGAATAGCTCGTGAGCTAGCTTGCCCCTCTGCCTGCTGCTTTTGGGAGCCACGTTCTTGCAGGAGGACCCATCGCTGAAGCCTCTCTCCACTGCCTGGAAGGCTGGATGCGTTTCCTCCATTGAAAGATGACCCTCCTGTTGGATAACAACATATCCCGAGGCTGGGCCTTTAGGTAAAGCAGCAGTCGAGCAATTAAACCGTGGAGAGTCGCCAAGCCTCCTCAGCTCCTCCGAGACCACCTGTAGCAGCCGGCGAGTGAAGCTGACACCCCTGCATAGAGGCGATCCTTTCCAGCAGTGTGCTGCGGCCCTACCGGGGCTTATTTCGGAATTTATTTCCCAAGCTTGGCTTTGCGGGGTGGATGCAAACCACCTGCTCCAGCCTTGAGAAGCGGCGGCGCGGGCGCCCGCCTTCCTGCGCCCCACGCCGAGCTGCGCTGAGCGCGCGCCAAAGGCTCTGCGAGCGAAGGGCGGTGGAGCGAGCACCCGCGCAGCTGCTGCGAGCGGAGGCCAGGCGTTGGGGAAGTGTCACCTCCAGGCACCGGGGCCCGCAGCTGCTTTCAGCACCTCTTCATTTCGAGCTGCTAAAAGCAGAGACGCGCGCTTGCGGCTGGAGTTGCGCGCCTGCCCCGGGGACTGTCGTGGCCGGGCGGTGTGCTGGTCCCCTGGGATGCCTGGCCAGGTGGTGTGCTGGTCCCCTGGGATGCCAAGCCCTTCCTCCCACCCCCCCGCCGCAGTCCAGGCTGATGCGCCTGTGTTTCCCGTGCCCTGTACCCCTCTTTGCACCAGTTGCTCCCCAAATTCCCCGCTGACAGGCCTGCAAGCCCAAGGAAGTCTCATGCCAAAAATCTTTCTTCTCACCGGGCTACACTAAGGAAATCAGAGGAGGGATGTGATCATTATCCTCGCTGTGATTTTGCGGGTGCTTTCCATCCTCAGGGGCAGGTAGAGCTCACCCCAACTCCAGCTCCCTCCGGAGGAAAGCATGCCCTCACCCCAAAATGAACCACGCTGGAGTGAGGCACACACCCGGGAGCGCCAGGCTTGTCCTTCGAGGACAGCCTGGAGCACACCCAGACACCGAGCTCCCCGGGTTCACCATCGCAGCACAAGTCCCCACTTGGGTCTACACTCCTCAGAGCCGAGCCATGGACTGGGGGTGCTGTGCATGTGCCGGGGGGTATCCCAAAATTGAGGCACAGGGCAGCAGCTGCCTTTGCTCCCCGCCGCCTTGCACCCAAGTGCCAGATGTGCGATACCTCCCTTGCTGGGAGGAAAGGGAAACGTGATGGTCTTTCCGACCGAGGGAAGGACCGCCGTTGTCTAGACTATGTGACTAAGGAGGGAAGGGGCCGACTGTTTGTACAGCTTTGGGGAGTGTAAACAGTGCCGACTGTCCCAAGCGCTTCAAAGCAGAGAAATCCGGAGATCGGATGAAAGCACAGGGAAATTCTGGCCCAGTGTCCAAACAGAGCAGCTAAGGAGAAGGGGACCTCTTTGAGATAAAATCCCCAGCGCTCGAGTCATTTCAAACCAGCCCGAGCGCTGGGTGACAGGCGGGAAGGAGGAGCGCAGCACCGCCGGCCGTGGGCAGGGCTGTGTGTGGGCTCCCAGGACTTTCCCAGCTTTGGTTGCTTCTCTCTGCAATCTCAGAATAAGTGTCCTGAAAACGAAACTGGAGGCCTTGGGAATCCCGCTCTGCCCTGTGGTGAACTGGTCTGGCCTCTGCATTTCACTCAGCTCACAAAAAGAAAGAGAAAATGTTGTTTGAGAGGCGTTTTCCTTTTTTTTCTTTTTTTTTTTTTTTTTTTTTTTTACAACTTTAAATACAGTACTGAGTATAAATTAATCTTACATTTAAAAAAAAGGCCAAAAAATTAAAATAAAATAAAAGCTCACCATCTTTACAAACCAAAGGAAACAGATTTTTGAACAAAGTGTCTTAAGACTTGAGGGCTTGGGGATGGAGGGAGGAAGCAACGTGCCGCCTTGGCAGTGGTACAAGAAGTGCTCTGGGCTTGCGAGAGGCGAGGGCTGGATCCCTCCGCAACCTGTAACAGCTCCCAGGTTGTGGCTTCGCCTCCTTCCTCCGGCTCCCCCTGGGGCTTTGTCCCGCAACAGGGGTGCGTGTGTGTGTGCGAGGGGCGAAGCGGCTGGAGGCAGGAGGGGAAGGGGAGGGCTGCCGCGCGAGCTCTGGGCAGGCATTTTCTTCGCGTGTAACGCTGCAGCGCCCAGAGCGCCGCGATCTGGGACCAGGGCTCCGAGGCGACGCTGGAAATTCCCATCATATGCAACATTTCTGCTAACGGTGACTGAGTATGAGGTGTGCAGAAACAGCTCTTGCCCACAGAGTCCTCCTCCCTCCTCCGTAGCAGGCAGCGGCCCGGGAGGGACTCTACAACTGACCCTCCAGTTGTTCTCTGAGTCCTCCTCACTTAGAAGAGCTTGGTTCTGTCTCAGACAGCTGCTGCCAACTGCAAAGACTATCCTCATTTCTTTGTCTATCGCTACGCAGAGCTGCCCACATCTTGGACCAACTTCCAAGCTAGGTGGGCTGGGAACATCTAACGGGCAAAAATCCGGAAGGAATTTGAGAGGGAAAATGTGAGGAAAACGATGGGAGATGTGGGGTCATTGGCAGGGAGGGAGGAGTGCCGGACACCCGTGAAGGGGTTAAAAACCTCGGGGGAATGACATGATTCTGCTTTCAGGAGCACAGAGCAGGCAAGGACAGCTCACTGAGATTAAGTCATGCTTCTAAGTTTGGCTGTTGTTGGGCTTGTTGTGGTGCCACTTCGCCTCCTGCAAGGAAGTTGTGCTGGGGGGTTGGTGGAGAGCGAGGGAAAAGGGCAACAAGACAGAGAGAGATCGGACGGTGCCTCTGCCCCGTCCCGCCGCAGACCTCGCAGGCACGTTGCAGCAACAGCGTGCTCTTCTGCCAGCCCAACGAAGCCGACGCATGCACGTGCCTCTGAGCTTCCTGCCACTGGGGAATGAAATCCATTTAAGAACATATATATATATATTTATATATGTATGTATAAATACACACACACACGCACACACGCACACACGCACGCACACGTATATATATATATATATATACACACACACATATACATGCGCACACATACAGAGCGAATTTAAAAAATAATTTGAGTCCGAGCCTGGAAAGTTGAATTCTCCACCAGCATGTGCAAAGATGGCTCCCCTTGGCAGGGGCCGGGGCGTGGAGACGATTCTGCCGCCGTCTGCTCCTTCCCCACGATCCAAACACCTTCCAGTCAGCACCAGGAGCAGGAGGGGAAAGGGAGGGGAGGAATGCATTTGGCTTCTTTGTTTTGTTTTGTTTCTGTTCTGTTCCCCGAGATGTTGTATATCTTAGTGGTTTTGGTTTTTCTTTTTTTTCTTTTTTTTTTTTAAAATAAAATATACACACGCACGTTAAAAATATATCTCTGTCCAGGTAGGGCGATAAAAGTCCTTAGTGCATTTTCCATCATCGGTCGCCGCTCGCAATCTGAGATACACCTGTTTTCAACATGCAGGTCCAGTGCAAGTGCTGATCTCAGCTGGGCCCCCCCCAGCCTTACCAGAAACACGAGGGAAAGGGAGAATATTCCCCTTCCGCCCTCTGTCCATTTGTTTTTCTCCTCCCCTCGGAAGAAATTGGACCCACTTTCCTTTTCACATTTTCCATCCCGTCCTCTGGAGCAGGGAAGGCATTGTCCTGACCTTGTGGCATATTGCGGCTGTCGGGGTTCATGATTTTATTTGTACTTCGTTCTTTTCTCATATATATATATATATATATATAGGTCATGTTTGTCCTTTTCTTGTGTGTGTAAAACTTTAAAATTATGCTAATAAATGAAAGAAGGGAGAGGCTTTGGTGGGAGAAGGTCCGCTGATGGAAAGGGAAGCACCAATTGCCGTCTGAACCAGACGTCGAGGCAGATGGACAAAGAGGAAAATTTATCACTCCAAGGACCCCATGGGGGCAATACAGCAAATACATTAAATAAACCTGGAAGTGAAACAAAACCAGACACGGCATGAGAATATGTAACCCTCTCCCCCTGCAACTCCCCTCCTCTCCCGTTTTCTCCTCTGGAAATGTTTGTGTCAAAGGGCCAGATTAGAAGCCCAGGAAGGCTTTTGACCTTCTCTATTTTTGCCCCCGGACAGCTTGAGCCAGAGCTGAGATTTGCATGGGTTTGCATCGTTTCTGCCCTGGGAACTTCGGGCTGGCCAGGAGGATCCTGGGATAATCAGAGCCCTCGCAGTGCTAAGCGTGGGAATACCAATCCCAAGACACCGCCTGGCGCCCCCCGTCCCCAGCTCCTGGGACGCCACATGTGGAAGCCGGTTGTCCCCTCTCCCGAGGTGAGGGGAAGTGAACGTGAAGTGAGTGGCCCAGGCTCATTCAAGGGGCCGTGGCAGAGCTGGAACTGCTGAGTCACAGGCCAGGGCTTTCCCTGTCAGGCTGTGCCACCTCTCTCTAAATTCAGGTCCCCCCAGTCTGCGCCCTGGCTACTGCTTCTCTCTTTTCTGCACCTTTCCCTCTCTCACGGGGAACCAGGGCTTATTCTCCTTTCCCTCGTACCATGAAATTCTTCTGATGACGAGGGAATTGCTCCTGTTTACACAAGCCAGGGAGAGAAGAATCAGACCCTGGACTGACAAAATCCAGATCTGTTGCCAGAGATTCCTGTTCTCCTTTCCCCCGGTCTGACCTTTCTTACGCACTCAGGCTCCTCGCTAGGAGAGAGAAGAACCAAAAGTGTTGCTGCTTTTCAGTCTTTCTGCCAGCTCAACTAATGAAATAAAAGCAAAAGGGATCCCCAGAGCAACATTAATTCTCTGCTTTCAACGGACAATCAATAGAGAAAGGAGAACAGGAGTGGCTCCACAGAAGAGATGAATTACATGCACCCCGGAGGGATCTAGGTGTAGCGAGAAGTCAGGCTCGCTCTCTGTCTGCAAGGGAGGCAGAGAAAGGAGAGGGCAGGGCCCGAGAGCAAGAGAGCTGCCCGTGGTTGCAGCACGATCCTTCCACCGTTGCGAAGAGCCATAAAGCCATAAATAGGATGCCCGTGTTGGGTCCCAGCCTAGTCCTTCCCTGTCCTTCAACCCGGGATTTATCACGCCCAGGCCCTGCAGTAGCCCCGCGCTGAATGAGCGGCCAGCGCTGCGGGAAGGCTCCAAGATGCTGGGCAGAACCACGTCCCGGGAGAACAACTCTCCCGACTGGCAAAGCAGCTCGCTGTTACCTGCCTTGTGCTCTCTCTCCCCTGCCAGCACTTCTATGCTATGAGGATTTCTTTCAGCACTTTCTTATCGTTGACATGCTTGTACTTCTTATGTTTCCTCTTCTGCGCCGGCGGCCGGCGTACTCGCTGCCTCTGTGAAAAAAGTGGAGCGCCGCGAACAAGCCTGCCAAAACAGAGGGGAGAGTGTCTGTACAGCGAGGGGCAGCCGGCTCATGTTGAAATATCTTTCTCCGCACACTATCAACAAAGAGCTCTGCAACAAGAGGGCCACAAGGCCTCCTTCTGTTCTTCTGTCCCTTGTCCTCTGTTCTCCACAGTCTCTGCCCTCTCCCTTTTCCCACGATGCCCTTCCCCTCACCTCTCACCTTCCCCTCCTTCATCTCCCTCGGTTTCAGGCCCTTGCTGGCAGGCAGACATCCTGGGAAAGGTCCCTCGGCTGGTGTAAGCCAGCGAAGGCCCACGGGATTCACTGGAGCTAAGCAGACTGAAACCAGCGGAGGGCTCTTCCCTCTCTCCCCAGCCTCCCTTCTCACGCCTCCCTCCGCTCTACTCATGCCAAGACCCTTACGTCTCTGTTCACGTGGCCCTGGCCGGCTGTTCCTGGGGGGCGGACGGGACACCGCTTCACACCGACACTGCACATGGTCCTCCAAAGGCACAACGACTTTTTTGAATTTTGGCTTCCTCTGGACAAATTCGATCTTGTTCACCTATTTGGAAGAGAGAGGCAGGCAAAAGATTTAACACAGCTGCAGCTCCCGCTCTGCAAAAATAATCAGTGTCAGTACGCTTCAGTACTGGCTCTTTTCCTAAAGGGTCAGAAGGCAGTTTATAGAGCACGGTTCAAACTCAGGGGTGGCGTGTACGGGAGCTAATTCTGCACACACCAGCAGAGCAGACCTAGACCAGGCAAGTTTGGGTGTGACTGGTTGTTTCCCCCGTTCCTAACTATTGCCACTGCTTCAAAACCTGGCTGATCACAGACAGGAGCATGGGACGTGCAGAACATGCTAGCCTGCTTCTGACAGACGTGATGGCGGAGACCTGGGGGCAACCAGAATTAGTTCTCACACGATCCTCCAGGAAGGGCAAAAGGAGAAAAGCTCAGGCCCGACGCAAGCAAAACGCAGCCTCACCAGCTCTGCTGAGGCCTGCCTGAATTTGTCTCAAGCTCTTTAATAACTCACGGGGCTGAAGCCCTCAGCTCTGTGTTTCACGGGAAAGGCGGTGCTCTGGAAATTCCCTCGGACTCCCCACCAGTGCTGACTCAGAGGGAAGACTCACAGCTCTGCATCCCACCACAGGGCACAAGCTTCCTAAGGGGTCCTCCCACTCCAGGAGCGGCTGGGCCTGACCCCACTCAGCTTATCTAACAAGACCTCGGTCCCTGAAGTGCTCCGCAAGCTATAAATACTTGCTCTGCCGCGCGTCTCGGATTGAATTCCTTTAAACCCACTGCCCCCAGCCGCATCCCTCAGCCAGTGCCGAAGCAGCCAGGCTGTTTATCTTTCCTTGAAAGCCCACTCCACACGCTTCAGACCACACGCTGCTCGCTAGACAAACACTTCGAGCCAAACAATAGAGAGACCTCTGTCCTCAAAGAAACCATTTCCAGGTCACTTTTTCAGGCTGGCTTTTGACCTCTCACTTGTTTTTTCCACAAAAACAACTGCTCCCCCCCATTTTTCCCTCATTCAGCCTGGCTTTTCTGAGAAAGGAATTTCCTGATGAAAAGAGCTGTGTGAATACAACCTCTCCCAGCCAACCTCAGCCGCCTGCCTGGGGGAGTCTCTTACAGCTCAGGCAGAGGATTAGTACAGGGTGAGTATTATTTTTAAACAAGCTGTCTGGGAGGAAGCTGTGAGGAGATCACTGGTAGCTGTGAGGAGGGCAGGATCAGAGCAAGAGGTCAGCCATCAGGTGTCTGCTTGCTGCTGGAGCGGGTCAGGAGGTGACTGTGGGGCTGAGAAAGAGGAGAAGCTGCTCCAGCGCACGTCTTGGGAAGACGCTGCAGCAGCAGCAGCGAGGGGGATGGAGCACTGCCACGACAAGCCTTCCTCTTTTTTGCATCAAAACCAGTTCCCGCGACAAAAGCGTCCTGTTTCTTCTGCTCTAACACAGCAGATAAGGCTGCCTCCAGCCACAGGAACACGTGGCACGGAGCTGCAGCTGGGGACGGTGCCCTGTAGCTCTGCTACGGTGACAGTCCCCAGCTGCTGGACAGCACCAGCCCTCCCAGCAGCTGGCACGGACGTCACCCCGCGCCAAAGGCCGCAGCGGTGCATGGCTAATGCAGGAGACGTGACTGCAGAGGGGGTGCGAGGGAACAGACAGATGCGTGAGCCTCGCACCTGAGACCCGCCGTGGTTTTGGTTTTGGGGGGTAGGGATGGAGGTGGGCTGTGGCAGGAGGGAGCAGTGGGAGGCATCTCCCTTACCTGGACGTGCCGGACACGAATCTGCGTGGGGCGACACTGCACGTTGCGGTTGTTGCAACACCCGGAGCAACGCTGCACCTCCACGCAGGGCGGCCACACCACAAAGTTGGCGTTGGTGCTGTCCACCATGTTGCGGGAGATTTCAAAGACCACCGCCCGCGTCTTGCACTCTGCGAGGACAGCTGGCTCTGCTGCTGCCAGAGCATCTACAGAGGGCCAAGAAAAGAAGGGGGGATGAAACGGGCTTTGCAGCTGTTACCAACCCCCTGCAGCCACCTCTACTGGAAGAGAAAGACCCCACACGGCTCTCTCACACACACACACACGCTCTTTCTCCTTCTCCCACCTCTCCAGCCCCCTCTCTGGACAGAGCTGCGCCCTGTGGAGGAGATCCTGATAAAATGATGCTTCTCGCTGCAGCAGCAGCCCTAGGCAGGAGAGGAAATTTCTTTAGAGCAAATCAGTACCAGCAGGATTTAAAGCAGAGCAGCTTGCAGAGCTCCAGACTCCCTCTCCTGCCCTTCTGGGGTGTAACACCCAGCTCCTACACCCTCTTTCTCTTCTGTCTACTACACATCCATACGCAGTATATAACCTCTACCCCGAGACGTGTGTTTCAGACACACATCTACACCCAGCCACAGCTGCTCAGGTGAGTGCCCCAACAATCACAAGGTGCAACACCCCCGACTCACCTAGGCTTCGTCGCTCTCGAGACGGAGCCACTGCATTTTGACCAGTCTGAGTTGCATTCAGGTCCAGGCTCGAGCTGTCCTCCTCTGCAAAGGGAAAGACATGACCTGATGATAGCACCAGGCAGAGGCAGGAGAAGACGGCAGGCACTTGTGCTCGTCTCATCAGGCAAAGTGCAGCGACGTGGGATAAGCCATGACCCCAGTACATCACACAAGGTGTAAATCCACCAGCAGGGTCACGGCTCTGGTGGGGCACAGACACTCTAGGTTTGCTCTTTGCTCAGACTAGGCAGTTCGAAGCGACAAGCCTATCGTGAAAGAGGGGTCCCAGTCAGGTCTGGGAGAGGAAAACTCCAGCTCGAGAATGATGAGGCCTACAGCAGGGCTGTCTGCCGTCAGAGAGGCGGAGCGGAGGGATTCAGACAGGCTGGCTGAAGCCAGTGTGTGGCAAGGGGGATAAAGACCTGATGGGACAAGCAGAAAGTTTAGTATATAGCACTGAGGTGCCTTGCTGGGATGGCTGGGGACTGGGAGAGGTGGGGTGTGAGAGGGCAAGCGAAGGGTTCAATGGGCGGGAGGTGGGGTGCTTGGTTTCTCTCTCTGAACCCACCGCAGCCGCTCTAGGTTACAGTCAGTTTTACAACAGAAGAACAGAAAAATAAAGCTGAAATGTTTTTTCCCCTATCCTACTCTAAGGTAAGCTGCAGAATCTGGAGGTATTTCAGTCAGTGATGGGAGAGGAAGGCAGATAGCATTCAGGCCAGCCCTGAGCAGTTCCCTCCCACCCCACTGCTTTTTCCCATAGGAAGCGCTGAATAGAGAAATGCCCATAATCCCCATGGAGCACTCCAACACGCAGCCCCTCCTGAGCTCCGGACAATGGCCGCGCTCAGAGATAGCTCCCACCCAGCCACAGCTCCTTCCTTCTCTGACCTGCTTTAGCAGCTGAAGGAAGCTGAATGGACGTCAGCATCGAGGGAGCAATTTTCTTAAAGGGAATTTGGGGCCAGTGGAAGATCTCTGTTTATCAGATGTGCGGTGGAGCAGACTTCCCATACCTATCATGTCCCATCCCTCTTCCTCAGTCCTGCCCTACTGCAGCTCTCTTGTAAGGAGAAGCAGGGACTTTGCTCTCTACTCAGCTCTGAAGCAATCGCTGAAGCATTTGGGATGGGTGCACAGAGGCTCTGTTCACAAGGCAGGAATCACATGCCAGTGCAGTCAACATCTATGAGGTGGCCACACAGACACCCTCTAAAGTGTCTGGAGAGGTGTGATCAATTCTAGGGCACCATTCATCTCACCCTGAGGCAGGCACACAGAATGAGATCTGGTAGATCACGCTCCAGAAGGGCATAGCTCTGCAAGGGCTACAGAGGGTGTCTGGATGACTGGCTTAGATGGTCATGCCTGCTTTGCAGGCAGCCACAGTTAAAGGAGATGACCCCCACTCTACACCCCTCTGTTGTTGGTTCTACAGTAGTGCCTAAGGTCAGGAGGGTAGTATCTCAGCTCACCCGCCTCCTGGAGCTGCCTAATCCTGGCTCCCTGTGGAGTCAGTGGAGGGCAGTAGCTGTGGCACATACACGAGGCATAGACAGCACAGGGAATAGCCCCACCCGCTTTGGGATTATTTTTTTAACACACTTATTTGCTAATACACTAATTCCACACAGGGCAAGCAAATGGTGATGCCCCTCAGTCACTACCTGGGAGCAGATGAGAGCCACAGGATGCAACAAAGAGACAACTTCACAGCACCACTTTCTGCTTCCCTGACCAGTCTTTCCCATCTGGGACCTGAAGTGAAACCAGTGACTGAAAGCTCTGCAGCCTTCTCCCATACCCCTGGGCTTTTCAAGCCAGCAAGAGAAGCCCATTTTATTTCTTAATCGTGAGGGTGGTTAGTAACTGTGACAGAGGTGTATCTGTTCCTTAGACACCGGGACATGACAGACTGCACGCATCTTCTCAGCCGCTCCTTCCCCTCCCCTCCATCCTGCGCCGCCTGGCATTTTATCAGATGAGGGTGGGGGCTGTCTTCTGCGCAGAGGTTGAGTTGATGAAGGGGAGGGGGGGGAAACAGCAACAACTGTTGACTCGAAACAAATCTCCTATTGAAAACCATGTCCCTCCCTCCCCCAGGTTGTCCTTCTATACCCCGGGTCAGCACTAAAGAGGGTTGGGGCGGGGGGGACCAGCCTGGGACAATCCAGTACAGCTAATTTTGGAAGTTGCCCCATTGTGTGGCTCGTGGACGAGGAGAAGGGAACTGGTGAGGGCAGGGAGAGGCCGTGGTGGTG